GGCTGCACGGCTATTAGTAGGTCCCGGTGGCATGGGTGGCGGACCGTCCGTCCAAAATAAAACTGTGCCAAAATCTTAGCCGTATTTGAAGAGTCTCGGCGCAGTCGTAATTCCTGTCGAAATAAGACGTCGAGTTTTTACACTGTCGTTTTGTTTTGTTCATTAATTTGTTTGCTTGTTTTTTGAAGGCCAAGGAGGAACATCCGTTTTGTTGTTTGATTGCGACATGTTGAGGGTCAGCTTAAACGCGATGACCGTATTTTTCTTTTTTTTCTTTCTTTTTTTTCAGAATTTGAATGCTATTATCTCGAAATCGAATTTAAAACTCTGACAGTTTGTCAAAGTTTATCGACAGATCCATCGTCTTCTAAGTTCAATTAAAAGGGCAAGCAGAGCGTATTATGGTGGATTCGAAAAAGAGAATTCTAAGACGAAATTATGGAGACCTCGGAGGTTGTTATCGCTGAAGCCAAAACGCCCCTACTCTCCTCCCCTTGATTTGTAAAAGTATTCAGATCACACTCAGCCTCATACTAATAATTGCTAAATATATATTACCATTTGTTACTACATTTTTCTGTAAATATATCTCAAAAATAAAAATGATCTTCTATTTTCAATAACAGCAGGAAACTCTCGTTTGACTCGCGCCGTAAGCCACCGATAACTTATGATAACTTGCGTTAGTATTCATGACCCCGTCAGGGTGTTCAAAAGAAAGTTCTTCAGGGTTAGTCCATCCCCACTTGAAACAAGGGGTGCTTACCATCTGTATGGAATACCCGGATATTTCGGGGAGAATTCAAATGAAACGGTTCATCCCGGTGAAAAATTTCCGGAAAAACAGTAATGCCTTTCGAGGTATTACCTTTCTTCCGTTTTTACCGAAACGACAGAAATTTTCTGTACCATTTGTTTGGATTAATTAGCAGCAAAGCCAGGCTTCATGTCGAGAGAGAAAGTGAAAAATTTACAGGTATTTTGTAAATGGTACTACTCAATCCCGTTCCTGTTTTCGGTGCCAAAAAACACAGTACCAATTAACGGAAATTTTTCACCGAAATTTCCGTACAAATGGTAAGTGCTCAAGGTCCCCATTTCCACATAATCACTGATCTCAACCACCTGAATGTCTACCCGTGTGCAACGCAAAAGGTAGCAAATCACCCTGGGTAATATTGTAAGATCTTAACTGAGCATTGATTCAACCGGGAATTGAAACCGTGAAGTCTTCTCTCCAGACCGGCGCTTGGCAATCTGAGCTGACCAAGCTAAGGTTGTTGCCTATTTTACCACTTTGACTCTCGTTAAGTGCGAAAAACGAAGACGTCACCATTGTTCTCATCCGTTATGATAACATCCTATCTTTTATCGTCGCAAACTTTATAGAAGTGCGAGTTGTGTTTTCAAAGTATCAAAATACCAGTATTTTGCAATGGTAATTGAGTACGACGAAGCTCACCCAGTTTCTTGCTCTACAAAGCAGCATTCTATCAATGACTCCAAAGTACTATACTTATTACTACTTGCCCAGATTTTGCTGTCGCTTCCCAAGTTACCTAGTATGATTTCTTGAATCTTGGCGTTGCTTATCCTCGTACGTAAGCTCGCGCAATGCTATTTACTTTCGGCAAAAGTCTCGGCATTAGAGAATCCTCGTATGGTCTCAGTTACTTTTACTGCAATAAACTAACTTACCGCATATTTTGTAGATCACATTGACATCAAACAACTGTGCATTTTTCCACGACGAACAGTTCTTCAGAAGCATTGATGTCTCGTTGGTTTTCTGAGTTGACGAACGGGGCAAGAAAAATGATTGATGCTCCCAGAAGTATGACAATCCCTGTCATATAAAATGCTGGAACATATGAGCCCATCTCATCAGCCATGAGACCTACAAGATATATCGCAAAACCGCTAATAATTATACGCATATGAAGAATCGAAAATAAAACGGATTATAATTGATTCAAAATATTTCTCCGTTCCTGATTGGTTAAAAGCACTCGCATAATTCACCATAACCCGCTAATGTTGACCAAATTTGGAAGAATTTTGCGATTAATCAACCGATGACGTCAGCACAGTTGCAGGTTAATGCACCGTAAACCGAGAAGACCTGGTAACGAGGTTGAGTTGTTTTGGTTGTAAAAAGAAAAATGGCCGAAGAGTCGGCGGCACATTTTACTCTTTTCACGACGAACTTTTGTCTAAACACATAGCAGGAAGACAACTCGACGGATAACATTGCTATTTGGAGTATATTTGCAGACCTGAACAGCCCTTTATCACCATTCAACCTCATAATTTCATATATTCGAACTTTTGCGTCTGGTAAGGCTCTCGGAAAGATATTAAAATCATGAAACACTTCGAAATAAGTCTCGTTTTGAAATCGACGCTAGAGACAACTCGGAAATAGGCTGCAAAAAATGCGCTATATTCGGCGTTTTATGAACGAGAGAGGGCAGTCACGAAACGGACGTGAAGCACCAGACGCGCTTGTCTCGCGCTTCACGCATGCTTCCTGCTTGCCTTCGGTCGCCAGAAAAACGCGAAAAAATAACGTCTGTTCTGCAGGATGATTATACGTTTCTGGGAAACTGCCTACCTACCCCTCTCTTAAGCCAACATTTTGTCCTAAGTGAGAAGTAAGTGTTAATGCTGGCTTATGGGAGGGGTAGGTGAGCAGTTTCCCAGAAAAGTATAATGACCCGAAACAACTTAGTAAACTTGAAAACATTTACCTGCAAGAGGAGGACCAGCTGCAGCCATAGACGCACTGACCATAACAGCAAGACCGAATCCTAGCGATCTTTTCTTACTGGTGAAACACGAAAGAATAGCGATGGTCGACGAGCATCCGATGGCTCCGTCGGCAAGTCCGAATACTATGAAATATAGCACGAAATGAAAGTATCTTCTTGCAAGAGGTAAAATAAGGGTTGCGACTCCATTAACTCCCGCCACAACCTGGTAAATGTAAATTGCTTCAATATGCTTTAAGTCACATAGCCAGCCCACTACAGGACGGCAAAGCATTGAGGTTAAACCGCTGTATAGGTAGAGTCTGGAGGCCTGTGTGGCTGTTATTCCTAAATCTTCACAGTAGCGAACCTAAAGACGAAAAGATAACATGTGCGTCAAAAAAGAGATTGATGAAATGAGAGTTTTAAGGAGGATATGTCACGATCGGAGGTCAACCCTTTGTTTCCTTCTCTAACCCTCCCCCTCCCCCCTTCGTTCCACTCTTTTGCTCTCGTCCCAACTTTCCCGACGAACTCGTGTGGAAACGCTTGCCACGTAGGCTGGCTCTCTAGGATCATTATTAATACGTTTCTGGGAAACTGCCCATCTACCCCTCCCATAAGGCAACATTAACACTTACTGACATTAACTGACATTATCACTTACTTCTTACTTACTTCATCACTGACATTAACACTTACTTCTCACTTTGAGTAAAATGTTGGCTTAGGGGAGCGGTAGGTAGGCAGTTTCCCAGAAACGTACTATTACTTCACCCATACACACAATGCTACTGTAGAGTTGAAGAAGAAGACAAGAAACAAATTTCATCAGGGAGCACTAAACATACTAATTCATTGACTTGAGGGCATGTAAATATTGAAAAAAAAAATGGACCAAGCAAATTTCCCAGTCGTTCTTGCTTGCTACGAAAATGGAGGTCTTGGAAAATGACGTCACAACCATCCCCAGTCCCTGGTTTCCTGTAGAACGGACCACACCGGAAGTGAAATTTCACGTTTCTGGTACTGTACGTTAAAACAGGTGGAAGAAAAATCTTCAACCCTTTTTTTCTGCTTATTCTTATCAAGACACTATGTAGATTCTATCAAGTAAAAAGAAAAATTCTGTCATATACACTTTTATTTATTATATAATCAGCTTTCAGTGATGTTGAATTGGAAGTGGTCCATTTTTTCTAGCTGTAAACTCACCATATGAACGGAAGGAATGTAATGAACGACGTAGTACAAATTCATTGACAGAAATATGATGTCAAAACGCTTGTTGCTAAACAGGGACCACACGCTTTCACAGAATCTTTCCTTGGCATCTTTCTTAACAGATTTACTTTCCTCTTCCTCTGGCGGCATACGTCGAACAGTGCAAACTAGCGGAACGGAAAGGGACACAAATCCAGCTAATATCATATACGTCCTTCGCCAGTCAAGCTCATCAAGAAGAGCTTTCATTACGACGCTCATAACGAACATCCCTCCACCAGGGCCCATAGCAACAAGTCCCACAGCTAGGGAAAGTCTTTTGACAAAGTACCTCGGCAAGACGAGATATGGAGTGAGAAAGATAAAACTCGAACCAAACCCGAACATAACGCCATATGTTATGAGAATGGAATAGATGCTGTTTCCTTGTGAGGTGGCTAGAAGAGCTCCAGAGCAAAGTACAACTCCAAGAATAACTGTTGCACGCGGACCAATCCTGTTGTACACTTTAGCCACTAATGTGCTGAATATTCCCATGCCGACCATAGCTAACGAGCCAACTAAAGCTGAGGACAGTAAAGGACATTAATTTTATATGTATCTAGAATAGGTTCATATATCATGTGAATACTATTAATAATTCTATTACACACATAGAAAGTCGAGCCAAACCTGAGGCTGAAACAGTGGTGGATCTAAAGGCTGGGGGTCGGGAGCAGGGAGCTGGGGGCTGGGGGCTAGGGCTGGGGGGTTTGGGGGCTGGGGGCAAGCCCCCTTCTTTTTCAACCAAAGCAAGGCCCACTGCTGGAGCTAGTGCCTTAACAGGTTCCTCTATTGTCTTGAGGTCTGAACTCACAAGTGCCTACCCACCCCACCCCAGACAGAGCCCTTTAAGCCAACTATGGTGAGTAGAAAATAGTCACACACACATGACTGGAGGAATGGGATAGGCTGCACCCTTGCTTCTCTTGTCTTAAGACTTCACTGCTTGACACTCCTGCCAGTAATAATCCTCCAACTTTCAAGACAAATAAGTTGAGCTGCTTGATGTTTAGGATCCATGCAAGTCATTAGAATTCCTGCCCCAGTGAGATAAACCCAGCCGAAATCAAGCCATACCATACATGTAATAGTCAGTGGGCTGTTGTAACCTTACACAATGTTAGTCTGTCAAGGACCCAAAACTTAAGTTTCTAAGGAATTCAATTAGTGAAAAACCAAATCCAGTATGCCCCCACTGCGCCCCAGGCATTATCTTCACACTCACACTAAACAGAAGGCCGTTTAACAGAATATAGTACCCTACTCTAATCTGATTGTGAAATCTTTACCATTAAGTAGACTAACCCTTCATAAGGTTCTACTCCCGGAGGATGGGTGGGAGAATCCGCATATGAAAGGGGTGGGGATGCTAGTCGGAAATTTTGAATTAAACCCCTAAAAGAGACCGATCTGGGGTAGCCCACGCTTTTTTTGACCCCTAAAAGAAACCATGTTAAAACACAGACAATACACATATTTTTATATTTTTTCACGTGCAACCCTAAACGAGACCTTCACAGGTAAATATGATGGCGTTTTGCCGAGAACACCCTAAGTGAGACCAAAATCTGAAATTTACACCCCTAAGCTAGATGACAAGCATCCCCGCCCCTTTCATATGTGGAGTCCCCCCTCTCCCCCGGGGTTCTACTCACCAGTAAGACCCTTTCCCTGCTGAAACTCTGCCAAGAGAGTAGGAAACATGACTCCATAACTGATGATAATCCCACATATAATTATGTTGGAAACAGCACAGGCCAAGCAAACAACCCATGACCAGCATGAATCAGGTTGCACAGAGTTCCTACTGGCTGAGCAAGTAATTGTCTGCTCAGATGCGTAGACTGTTTGTACTACACTTGATTGCTGCTGCCTTCCCATTAGTATTTGTTGGTGTCCTGTGGCTGTTCACTCTTAGTTGCGACTGTAAAGGAAATAAATGTCATGATAATATATACTGGTCAGTAAAAACCTGACCAATGCTTGAATGCATTGGCTTCAAATAATAAGCGCACTGCACGAGGGTATTATTCACCATTCACTTGTCAACAGTCAACGATCTGACCAATCAGATCATGATACCAGAATCTGTTTTCATTGATGGGTGACATCAAAACAAAGTCTACAGGCTACCCCAGCCTTTTTTCTTGCCCAGGCCCCGCTCCACTTTGGAGCCAGTTCACAGGCTATTGTTTGACTTCTTGAGAGAATGCTTGACCTCATGGTCAACCCAGTTTCAGCCCAACTTTGTGTTATTGTCACCATTTCATTTGTACTCAAGTCGCTGTCTCGAGGCCATGTCCCTTGTCAGAATTTTACATTAACAAGGCCTCAAAAATTTGAAACCCTCTTATAAAATTAATGTATGTCGCCAATGAATCGGAGGCAGTAGCTCATTGCTGATCAAATTGGAATTTAGACACACCGGCTTTGTCTATGAGGCAATCAGTATTCTTCACAGATGGCAGAAGAAAATGATTCTATTACCAAGGAAGAAACTAAGAACTAAAATGGTAGTGATAATTTTAATTTCTGCTTTGCCTGTTAGAAGTAACTCTCTGACATGATTATTTGTCTAAACTGACATTTACAAATTACTGTAACAAACTCGATCAGCATACCGAAGTGACACTGCAGTCTGTATGATTGTTCACGATTCTTCTTCAATAAAAGATTTTTAAATATGATCGCACAACAACGTAGAGGCACCGAGTTGAATCTTAGGCTGTGCTCACACTATACGGAATAGCTTTTTGTGGCGTCACGAAAATCTATCGGGTATATTGTGAACACCTATCTGATATGTGACTCTCACTTTAGAGATTGACACGGTGTGGTGTGGCGAGGTACAGGACAGCGCAGCGCGGTGCCTCTTCGCTCCATCACAGAAGTTGCACCGCAACAACTGTTCTTGTATGTGAACAGAAGTCCTATCCGGTACAGTGTGAACATGGCCCCAGTAGTCCATTTTACAGTTACAGTTGGAAACGAGGCTGAAGTTGACCTTGTTTGATAAAACCCTTCCAACTTTATTATGTAAATGATGTTATTCTTGGTCTAACCGGTATTTTTTAGGCATAATTTCCATAAGAAAAGGAAAGAGGTTTGTATCGAAAGGAGGTCAAACTCAGCCTCACGTGCATTCAAAGGCTAGGTTACTAAGCTCACAACTGTAAAATGGTCTATTGTAAAAACGTGAAACATTATATCGCTTTCTTCGTATCATCATTTTCATTGTTCATTTTCCTCGCTGTTCATAGTGTTCAAGGTGTCAATTAAAAAAATATTTTTATAGATAGATAACCTAGAAGCCGAGTAACGAACTTTAACCAGTCTTGTTTAAAGAAGTCTTTGTGTGGAGTGAGATCAGACACTACAAGTGCCTTTGTAGAAAAAAGGCATCATTAAGCCGCCGCAAAATGAGAGGTCATGTTCCCAGTTCCGTAAGCGTTTACTAAAAGACTGGCCTTTTAAAAGATTAGAAAATACAATACAAAGCAAGAACTGACTATTTTATAACATAATATATCAATATTTGAGCTTTTGTTTTCACTCAAGTCTTACGTGCATGTATAAGCTTATAAGCTTAAAGTTGACTTAAGCATCTCAACGGATTCACCTACCTTTTGTTCAAAGCAAAGGGGACTTGATACTCTAGCACACCTTATTGAAATGCTTGCTAAGGTCCATACGAAACTTTGCCCTCATAGAAAAGGAAACCTAAGAAACGACTTTTGATGATAAGTGTTGCACCATTTCTCGGGCTGGTGAAGAAACAGTATAGCGTGACTCGTGACATTCCTGACTCAGCACTGTGCACTTCCTATAGAAAACAACTTCAGGTTCTATGTTGGGGTTGGGAAATGGGTACTGAAGCTATGAGGCAGCCTTTTTTGAGTTAACAAGTTTATAAATTTAACATATTTACGCCACTGTCTTGTCTTGGTATTCAAAGGCTTTTTCGTGCATTCGAGAGTTGAGCATTCGAAAGTGCTTCAACCCGGTGAGAGATTGGGAATTACAAAATAAGTGGTCACGCTTCTTGTCACGAAAAGTTAAAGTGAAGGTCAATAAAGTTTTGCAGGCATGGAAGACTTGAGCATTTCCCAAGAGAAAGACGGGGAATTCACGGGACCAAGGCATGCGTTGATTAAAGATGTAAGAATTCCTTTTTATGAACCCAACATAGATAAAGATTTTGAAAAGGATCTAAGCCGTTTCGAAACCAGACCAGACGATGTATATGTTGTCAGCTATCCTAAATCAGGTAGGATCATAGTTAAATACCTTGCATGTTGACATTTATTAATACAACAAATGGTGATATTCTCGGTGCATCGTACATCATCTTTTCACAAAATACAACTTTCCGAAAAGTTGTACTCAACTGACATGGAAACTAAGGGCGCAACGGCAATAAGCCATCAAGTCTTCTCCGACTGACTCGAGACTGACGCTGTGAGCTCGAGTATGTAGCATGCAGGGTTATAAAACTTAACTGATACCCCCTTAAGAAACTAGGCTAGTGATCCTCCCCACCCCCTCCCCCGTTTACGAAGAGATCTCACAGCTTCATCACCTGAATGAGGTTGGCCGGTAGATGTGTTTGAATTGTACTTTATCTTACGAGGAGTCTTTTACATGAATATAGTTTTTTCTTCTTCTTTTTGTGTCGTAACGCAACGCTTAGGAATGGATGCTTGCGTGACGACACAAAGGGTGGTAATTAGTGTGCCAAGAGATAGCAATCACTGTATCACATTTTATCGCGTCATTTCCACAGGAACAACCTGGCTTCAGGAAATTGTTTGGCAGGTGTACCATAATGGTGAAATAAGCAAAGAGGGAGTGGAGAGTCGATACCCGCAACTGGAGAAAAGTCAACTCTTTCAGAGGCCTGGGGATGAATCTCAAGCTGCCCTTAACTCTCGACCCAGTCCCCGACTCATCAAATCGCATCTTCCCTATCACCTGATACCAATGACTGAAAATGAGGCCAATAGAAGCAAATATCTCTACATCGCCAGAAATCCAAAAGATGCCGCCATTTCATTTTATCATTTCGTCAGCAGTTTTGGCCCCGCCAGCCATTTTAGTG